TAAGTGAGCAGATGACAAATTGTGGGGAGGCTAGGGACAGAACCAATGGAGAAATTCCTCCCCCAGATGGATTCATTTCTGCCCTCTTAAAACACTTTCAAATTAACATTATCCTTGATAATTTCTTTCTTATTTTATGTATTATTTTTATTTTATGTATGTGAGTGTATTGCCTGAATGTGTATAAGTGGACTGCTTGTATGCAATGCCCATAGAGGACAGAAGAGGGCATTGGATTCTCTAGAACTGGAGTTACAGTTGTTAGCTGCCATGTGGGTGCTGAGCACTGAACCTGGGTCCTCTGCAAGAGCAGCCAGTGCTCATAACAGCTAAGCCATCTCTCTAGCCCCATTGAGGTATTTCTCTCTGTGCATGCACATATACACACTCATGTATACATTCGTACACACACATGCACACATTCATGCACACAAACACACACGAGGATACATGTACACTTTAGAAAGTATGTCCTTCTGGTTAGAATACCAGGTCGTGTTAAATTGAGCGATGTATTGGCCCTGGGTGGTGTCTGTGCCCCAGGGACTAGTGCCGGGAAGAGTCCATTTGCTGCAGGCTGCTAGCTGTTGGGCTTTGCTGACTACCTTCTAGGATTTTTTTGGTGGTTTTTTGACTTTAGGGTCTCACATTGTAGCCTAGGCTGGCCTTGAACTCATTATGTAGCCCAAGCTGGCCTTGAGCTTGCAGCTCTTCTCCTGCCTCAGCCTCCCTGACTGCTGGAGTTATAGGTATGGCCACCATACCCACCTCAGCTCATACTCTGTGACAATGAGTAGGACAGAACTTCCTGCAGGCTAGGTGTGGTGTATGTGGTGTAAGGAAAGAGGATGGTGGTAAAGGACTTTCAGGCTCTGCTTAGGTCACTGGTAGGACAGAATGCCACTGAGCAAGATGGGGAGGCCCAGGGTGGGTGTGGTGGCCTAGACCCCCAGGAGCTGGGTTTTAGGCCTCAGCTAGGGGAAATGTTTTGAGCTGGTGGCCTGATGCTTTGGAGAAACATAACACACACGTGGAGATGGGCAGGATGTGGATGCTAGTAAGCTGTGAGCCTGGGTGGGGGTGGTCAGGGGATGGAGGAGGCAGCAGAACACAGGGACACCTTGAGGTTGGGTCACCTTGAATGTAGGAGGAGGGAGATGCCAGTTGTGGAAGAAAGCAGATATTACTTTTCAGGTGGGGCATCACCCAGTGGTCTCTGGGTTGGCTATTCCTACTTTCCCTCTGACTTCAAATTTGAATGTGTGTGTGTGTGTGTGTGTGTGTGTGTGTGTGTGTGTGTACTGACTGGTCAGCCCCAGGGATCTGCCTGCCTCTGCCCCACCCCATGCTGGGACTGCAAGCTCACATCACCATGTGTACTTTACCAGCTGAGCTGTCTTCCCAGCTCCTGACTACAAGTGCAAGGAGTGCCTGTTTCTTTTTTTTTTCATTTAAACTTTTTATTGATTACCTAAGTGCAGAATGTCACTTTTAGCTTGTAACATGAATGCAAGACAAAGGAAAATATTATAGAAAATAGGTCAATATCACCTTTTTGGTTTGGTCTCCTTTAAACCTGATGGACATTGAACAAAATGCAAACTTCAGCCAGTTTTTGTTCCTAAGATGATTGAAGTTTTTCAGTTAAATAATTTATATCAAAATAAGAGTTTTTATGTTACTTCTTAAATGACTAATACGTATATGTCATTTAATTTTACTAATCACTATGCTTAATATTAAGAGTTTTGTTATGGGGGCTGGAAAGAGTTGTTGAGAACACTGGTTGTCATGGTGGAAGGAATGTGAGAGATAAACAATGCCTAGCTAGTTTTAGAAAACCCGAGGGAACCATAATAGGCCAACAACCTACTGACAAATTATACATACAACCAGATCAAAGAATGTAAGGTATGCCTAGGCAAGGTTTATCTGAGAGCGTTTGGTCTTTGCCCAAGCTCTATCTACATAGCATATGGTAATTAAAAGTACCAGACTGGTGGAACTAACCGTCTTGGATGTTTAACAGCCATAATTTGAGGCTTATACTAATTTAGTCAGGGGGACATAAAGGGCAGTTTTTGCTCCTTGCCCTCCTAGGTCGACTAAGTTCCAGGGGACTATGATCATCTCTCAAAATGTCCCGTAACTGTGATGAGTCACCTGTCCTCTTGAGCAAGGAGGCTGTGAAGACCCCGCCAGATGGACCTGAACCAGTGTCCAGTCTACAAAGAGGAGGGTCAACAAGGAGGAAACATTTCCTCCATGCTTCTGAGAGAAGCCAGCCATGGTCGAGCAGGACCTTTGACTTATCTTCACATAGATGGAATTGGTAAAAGAAAGGAGCCAGGGGCTTCTCCCAAGCCCATGTGACTCCTGAAAAACAGATCCTCAAACAACCTTAAGAGTAAAAATAGTTTTATCTGGGCCAACTGTAGGGTCTTAAACACCCAAAAGGAAAATATAACCAAAGATTAAAGGGGTTAATATAATTTTTAAGAGTCCATATGTATAGCTAAAGGCTACATGACAAGAAACAATGCCAGACAGGAGATACCTTCCTTTGAGTTATTGGCCAAGGTAGCGCAAGAGACTCCCAGGCAGTAAGGCAGTAACCCAGCATAGAAGTGGGAAAATGAACATCAGACCCCAATCTTATCTAAAGGAATGTTGATAACTGATTGCTGTTGGATGAGGAATAGCCAATCTTCCTAAAACAAGGATCTCTAGATAGGCTGACTAGATTCAGCAGACGGACCAGTACTGGAGAATGGCTGGGGCTGTCGACAACACAGTGGACAGTAACAACAGTAAAAGGGATGACAGAGTATATGGGCTCCAGTGTGTGGGAGGGGGGAGGCTATGGGAGGGTGCCATTTTGGGAAGTGGGTATATAGATGAATAAGATTGTGTGGGATATTCTGTATGATATACACAGAAAAATAAACAATTTTTTTAAAAAAAGACATATTTGAGGAGGAAGCATAAAAATTTACTTCATGTTAATTAGTAGAGGTGATAAACATTATTATTGAAATCTACCTGATGACTTTATATCCATGCTCAGATGCCAAGGAGCTCAGAAAGTAACTGACTGTGACTAGTAATAGTCTGATATATGGAGATTTGAAACACATCTGCAAACATCTTAGTGTCAATTATATTAAAAATGAATTTTTCTGTATGAAACTGTGTATTTTAAGAATGAAATGAAGATCTTTTTTAAAGGTTAAAACCTCATTTAATTTTACATCATAAAGGGTTTATACTGAGTTCAATATTGTATAACTGTATTAATTCAACTGTGAACCTAAAAATTTACAGCCACTTTTGAAAGAGACGTATCTTTGCTTTGGAGTGTGTTACTGAATATGTTAAAGCTGTAATAAAATGCTTCTTCTAATTTGGTTATAAATTTAAAAAAAGTTAAG